TCGCAAGATTTAGTCTAAGAAACGCACATGATACATGTCACAGATGTAGTTAAATGTTGATTGAAGTTTATGAAAACATCCAGGTCTTACGATCGTATTTAACAATTGAAAAGTGTATTAGTTGTACTTAAAAGTCGACAATAATCGACGTAAAATATACATTGTCTTTTTTTTGCTCCTTTGTATTTTCTGGTGTTATAAGATTAATTACATATGAAAGTGATTAACAATTTGTATAAAACAGAAACACTTAGATTATTGTTAGTAGCACAAACTTGAATGAATATTGACCAGTTAACATTACTATAAATCCACGTGGACTCTTATTCGTAGTTATCTTTTCTGGTACATAGTATGCAGAACTTTTGTAGTAAATTGAAAAAAGCATTCCCGACGTCTTTATTTTGTGAAACAGGATCGAAAGATTGAGTACGACAAGTTCATTCTTTTTATATAACTATAATTTCAGTAATTTAATGATAATTATAAGACATTTCGAGTCGATTTTCCTTGAAAACTCGCATTAATAGACTTCATCATTGTCATATCTTGATCCAAACGCGCATTGGAATAAAAATCTAGAAAGATAGTCACAAAATACATTGAGAATCATTCTTTATGCGCTACTCATTATAATCATCGATAGCGATTGTACGAAGCAAAACATTTTGAAATCGTAAAAATTTTTATTCAAGATCATACACTTCTTTATTTATCTTTTAAAAAGAATATTTGAAATAAATATAACAAAGATTTGTTAAACAACAAAAAAGGACACTTCAGCTATATTCAATTCGCCATAAATTCAATTCAGTGCTCTACGACAGTAATTCACAATTACCTTTTAACTAGGGAGTGATTAATTCAATATCGGAAACTTTTATTAATAATTTGAATTCAATTCCAAAAAAAGTCAAATTTACTTGTCCGTAATCTCAATATGTTTGCATAAAATAGACTATTGTGTCATTACCTTTACGAGAACAAAATATTACTCATATTGATCAATATTTTCGATGATAGTTTTTTTCTATCTGTATTAAAAACACAGTGTATATCTCATCAAATATCAATAGACACACGCTCTAGTTAGACTTCAATTAAAGAAACTTATATATACATTGATTAAATATTTCAATATTTGTAATAATGACTGCATCATATTAATTTATTTCAATTCGATTCAATAGAAAACATGTAAAGATTGCAGAAAGATACATATGACTGAATGATCATTATAGTGATATGAAATGAATGCAAAGTCAAACTTGCACGTCGACAAAGCATAATGTGTGATTATCTTCGATTGACGATAGCTTACTATTTAATGAAACGAATATTTGATCAATTGATGAATTTAACCAGTTAGCAGACGCACTACTGATTAGTGACATCTATTTTTTATATTTTCCCTCTGAATATATTTGGAATATTCACATATAATGATCATTGGATACGGGAAACTACGATTTCAGAGAAACAGTGTGAAAATGAATAAATGGTACAGTAAAGTCCTAATGGTGCAACAATAAGATTGTGCTAAATAAAATAAAGTATGAATGAACCATATTTTGCTACAACTGAACCTCATTGGCCCGCCATTACAACTTTTCTGTGGCCTCTGTTCGGTTTCACACTGTTTTCCTTATTTCAGTGATTTCCCTTAGACGGTGCCCATACCCATACCCCACAAATGTCCTGAAAATGACATCTATTCAAAACAATGTTTCGATTGGTTAAAAGTACCCTATGTAGTTCTGTTCGTCCGGCCGATTTATGTTTATTTCTCCTTTTTGCATTATTACGGATCATTTATTTGACTTATTTAAATTTTGATGATGTTTTTAAATTTCTAAACCCAAAAAGACGCAAAAAAATATATAATGAGTCAATCAAGACAAACATCTGGCTTAACAACATCTACATCACATTATACATCATCCAGAGCATCAAATTCACCATCAATAAAAGCGCTTCAACTTGAATATGCTAAATTACAAAAAGAACCAGTAGAAGGTTTTACTGTTAAACTTGATGATGATTCGAATTTGTACAAATGGCATGGTAAATAGATAAATAAATGATATAAAACTTTTGTTTTTCTATGTTTATTTTTTTCTTTATTTCTAGTGGGAATATTTGGACCACCAGATACTTTATATGAAGGTGGTTATTTTAAAGCTGATATGGAATTTCCAACAACATATCCATTTGCTCCACCAAAAGTAAATAAATATCGCTGTAGTGAATTTCAATAAAGAAGAAAAACAAATTATTGACAACAAGGTTATCGTGAAATAAATCAATATGATTTATAGTTCGATAAGAGTAGCTTAAAGAATCTAAATAAATTTTTCATGTTTTTACGATCAAGATTTCCAAAGTTTTCTTTTTATATGTATAAATTCAAGAAAAAAATATTTCTTAATAATAGTTGATGTACTCTCTGCACGGGGTTGTTGAGGTCATAATGTTCTTATAGCGTTCAAATAAGTTCCATTAACATCTTTACCTTTTTCTCAACAATTATTCACATTTATCATATTGAAGAAGACGAAAAACAAATTTTTTCATGTATTACGGGAATAAATCATTTACTTTGAATGGATATTCATGTAAAAAAATATATTTGTTCGAATTAATTTGTTTTTTTTTATCAATGCATAAGTTATGTGAGGTTTTACTTGACAGGTCGTTATACTAATATACATATATATGTACGATTCAAGTTCAAATAGAATGATAGCATCTCAAGGTCGAGATGGTCCTAAATTTACTGTGAAGTGAGGCGAAAAATATAATTTTCTATCTTGATTTTTTTTTATAGAAAAGCATTTTTCTTTTTTTTTAATATTCGCTTTTTATTTCTTTTATAATTTTTATCAGTAATATTGAAATATCTAGGAAGAAGTTTTTTATGATTTTAATATTAATGAGTAGGTCATAAAACAAAGGATTTCTCAGCAGCCGTTCAACATGACGAGAGAATTTCTTCTTCTTTTTTTTGCCGTAGATTTCTCGTTCGATTATCTACAAATTTGTATCTTTCACTTAAACAGAACAACATACCTCTTATTTGGTTAGATCTAATGAAATGAATAGATTGAGCTTTGTGAGTCTTTCTTTTAACTATAGGAGCAGTGGTAACCTGGTCGAGAGTGCAACAATCTCTGTTTTCAGCAGAGCTGAAATTTCGTTTGCAAAAGATCGTATTACCTTGAGCTACCACTACATACAAGACTTCAATTAATGATCAGTTCGAAATTAGCTCTAATGAAGTCTTTAAAAGAATCAAAGACTTAATTGTTATTGTTAATCAAATTGATACATACTCGTTTGAAACTTTGTGCATTCGGTCATCTTCCGTATCTAGAAAAAATATTCTCCTCAAAAAAAAAAATATTCCGTTACATGAGATCAAGAAAGCCAACGATGTTCATATGTACAAAGTTTCGAAGGTATTGTGCCAATTTCTATTGATATTGATGGAAAAAAAAAAATTAAGCGTTCGGTCCTTCGAACGACTTCATTTGAATAATTGAATGTGAAAATCCCAGTTCTCTATCTTGTTTCTATAAAACTTTTTTTATTCTCACAATATGCATCAATTTCAGACTGATAACTAATTGAAGTCTTGTATGATAAAAAGAAAGGCTTATACAGACGAAATGCATGGATTTATTGCATTAGATCTAAACAAATAATGTAAGCTACTCCATTTAACGAGAAATATTCTCTTTTCTGATTCGAAATTTTCTTTTGCGACTTTTAGCTGACAGTCTTGTGACTTTATTTTGTTCATTAGATCTACTAATATCTGATACACCATAAATGATAATTTAAAATTAGCAAAAAATATCTCATTTGATGTTAAGGTCATAGAGAAATTAAATATCGGGTTTTGAAGGAAAGAAAAATTTCCTGTTTTTTTAACCTTTGCGACCTTCGTATGATCCTAAAGAAAGTATCTGAGAGTTTTGAGTCTATGGCAACCTTTGCTCTACTTATCAAGATCTATCTACTTTGAAAGTCGCATCATTTTTTTTTGTCGAGTCGTCCTCAAAAAATCCCAGAAAGAGAGTTCATTTAAGTAAGAAATACAAATCGTCTGTTAACTATCAACTTATGAATTTTATGATAGGTTCGTTTTCTTACAAAAATGTGGCATCCAAATATATACGAGTAAGTTTCAAAATAATCTTCTATTCTCAAATAAATCTTTGATTGCTTGAAAAAAGAAATGGTGAAGTATGTATATCAATTCTTCATCCACCAACTGAAGATCCTCAATCAGGTGAACATCCAAGTGAACGTTGGAATCCAACACAAAATGTACGAACAATTTTAATGTCAATAATAAGTTTATTAAATGAACCGAATTGCTCATCACCTGCTAATGTTGATGCAAGGTAAAATAATATTAATAAAAAAAAATCTTTTATCTATTTATTTTCGTTCTATTTAGTGTTATGTATCGAAAATATAAAGAAAATAAAGATAATGAATATGAAATAATAATAAAAAGACAAGTTAATGAATCACGATTAGTTGCTGAACAAGAAGGTATAACAATACCAAAAACACTTGATGATTATGTTGCACCATCACGTGCTGGCGCACTTGGATTAAATAATGGAAAAAATGGTAAAAGATCTGCTTACAATGCATTATCACATGAAGATGATGTTGATCTAGGAATTGATGTAAAATTTATTTTTCCTCAAAACTAGTTCGATTATTTTTTTTTGTTGTGTTTTATATAGGATGATGATGATCAAATGGCTGATATGGTGGATGACGATGACGGATCTTATGATGAAAGTGATTGAGAGAAAAAAAAACTCAAAAGAATTTTTTTTTCTTCATATCTCATTGTTTGTCTTATGTAGATTTCATTAACAAAGCTTTTTCATAATAATTATTATTTTTTCTCCTTTATTTGTAAAAATCTAGAGGTGCTCAAGCATATATATTGTACGTTATAATTAATTCTTGTAGATATGACATCAGAATCTGCTGGAATTTTATCATCACCTGATCGATCAAGTTCACCATCATTAACAGAACAAATCATTCATGAATCTTATACAACAAATCAGATATTTAATGATTATACCGGTGTAATGTCACAACAGGTACGTTCACCTGGAAAACGACAATTGACAATCGAAGAATCACTTGTAACTACTAATGATCCTAAACGTGTTTGTAACAGGTAAATTTTTTGAAATTTCTATTTAAGACTTCTCTTCCTCTGAAAAAGTTCAATTATTGGAATTAAAAAAAATGTATGGGAGAGTAGCCCGAAGTCTGACTTCTTTTTTCTTAGTAAAATCTGTCAACATCTACTTTATCACTGTAGCCAATTGCTTTTTTTTAAGAGTCCTTTTTTTTCCCTTTAAGAAGAAAGAATTTCTTTAAAAAAAAAAAACGGACACCGACAAGCCCTGCATCCCGACATGCTTTTTCAAATAAAAAAAAAATGAGATTTATGCAATGAAGGCCTACAGAGAATTTAGAATTGCTAATTGAGCTATTTTTTTTAGCCTTGCTTGTTTAATATCCCTTGACAACGTCATAGTATAGGACTGAAAATTTCATTTGGTTTGCATGCACTTTAGCCAACATTGGTTTTTGTGGGGATCGTAATCTGATTTTTTCAAAAATCATCGAACAAGATCAAGTAGTCATGTAAGAATTAATAGATTGAAGAATGACTTATGATTTCTGATTATAGCTTTTATGACTGATTCTACCTATGAACAATTATATGATCAGAAAAATTCTATAGCAACTTGACAAAAGAATAGCTTTGTTTCTATCTTGAAATAACAGCATAAAATCTGCTAGTTTATAAGAACGATGTAAAAGAACATAACGACAAGATCTGAAACATTCAGAAAAAAAAGTGTTTTTTAACGTCTATTTCTGTGCAAAGCTTCAAGTCTTTAGGATATTCATAGCTTATGTCTGTCTATATTATGCACTTAGTGCCAATTCACGTGGGATTTATCAGTTTGAGAACTGCCCCTCATTAGATACACTTTCAGAAAGTCGTACGATAGAAATTTTTTCATTCTACAACAATGCTGCGTTTGTTTTTGATATAAATATTTTGTTTATTGGAGCAATATATTAAAGATTAGCGTTTATTCAATCATTCAACTACGACGGTCAAAACAAAACGAAAAAATAATGAAAATATTTTAAACAATGATCTGTTGAAATTTCAAATATGTTGCAAAATGCTGCATCTTCGGATTTAATTTTTTGCGAGAAAAATTCCACGATTGGGCAAGAAAAGTCACTTTTCGAGTCGAATCAAGTTATTTTTATTATTTTTTCGTTTTCTGTTTATTTTTGTAAAGAAATAAGTTTTTCATGATGCGATATCTTGTTCCTAGTTTTTATACACGAAAATAAAACAAGAACACTCGTATATAAAATAAAATGACAAATTTTGATAAACAAAAACTTAAATTTAAACTTGTTTATCAACAAAAAATATTTACTAACATTTAAATCTAATTTCTTATTGCACTTCAAACATGTTAAGATACAAATATTAACTTGTGACAAATTTGAACATTGTGATCATCTTCAAAGTTCAACTCATGTAGTAGAAATACAGATAGTATTTTCAGCCAATTGATTTAGTAATCAAAATGAATTTCATTTTTAGAAAAACAAGGTTATTGATTAAATTTTCTTTAGAAAATCATCTATTTGTTTTTTGAAACTGTTTGTAGTACGTGAATTATGAACTTTTGCTTTTCTTACATGCATGACTCGATTCAATCGTGCTCAAATTTCAAGACCAAGACCAAAGCCATGAGAAAAATTTTTCGAGACTAGAACTGAAGTATATAGTAAAATACTCTGTGGTTTTAAGCAAATTATCTTATAAATTCTATTCATCAGAACATAATTCAAAAAAAACAAGTATTGAAGAATGATGTTAGATATCATACGAATACATTCTAGAACAGTTTTCTTCAGGCCGAGTCCAAGACCGGAACCAAGAGACTTTCATCCGTTATCGAATCCAATACATAGAATACTGATGTGTAGGATAAGGATTAAAAAATTTTTCTCATAAGGAAACTATACGAGCAGACATCCGGCATTTGAGCTCTTATTGGGGTGCACAAAGAGATCTTGGTAAGAGCAGAAAAATCCTAAAAGAATTCGTGTTCATGAATCTCTGCAGCCGATTTATGACTGTTTTACTGAATTTTCGATCTAATTGGCTTTAAGTATTTGCCGAAAAATATCTAATATTTTATCTTTTGAAAAAAAAAAAAAAAGGAATTGTCTGTTCTTTTTTTAAGTAATAATTTTCGAGAACAGCTTGATTTGGAATTAGTATCATCATCTGCCATTACAACACCATCGCCATCATTATCATCTTCTTCTTCTTCAAGCATTACTGATTCTCAATCATCTTCACCTTGTACACCACTTTCAGCTGATGTTCTCAATTGGCTATCAATATTTTTAGCTATGTCCAATGATGATCGTAGTCGTGCTACCGAAGCACTTATACATACTTGTTCAACGAATACACTTCAATTAAATCATATAAAAAATCAAATTGAACCATATTTTCAACGCGATTTTATTCGTGATCTACCACGAGAATTAGCATTACATGTACTTAAATATTTACCAGCAAATGATGTTGCACGAGCATCACGTACATGCCGATCTTGGTATGCAACATGTAATGATATATTACTATGGAAACGTATATGTCATAGAAAAAAAATTCCATTAAAACAATTACCAACTATATTTGATGATACAATTGATAATCAATGGAAACGTTCATATGCATGTCATAAACATTTAGAATATGTATGGCAACATGGACAACCATTACCAGAACCATTAGTATTACGTGGTCATGAAGATTTTGTTATAACTTGTTTACAATTTGATGGAAAACGTATTGTATCAGGTTCAGATGATAATTCATTAAAGATTTGGTCAATTGCTACTGGAAAAGTAAATAGAATTTTTTTTTTTTAATTTAATGCAATAAACATATTGTTTTTGTTTATCTAGTGTGAACAAACATTAATAGGACATAATGGTGGTGTATGGTGTAGTGAAATGACAGATGATTTAATAGTTAGTGGAAGTACAGATCGAACAATTCGTGTATGGAATATAAATACAGGAATTTGTCAACATATTTTATATGGACATACATCAACAGTACGTTGTTTAGCATTACATGGTGATATTGTTGTATCTGGTTCACGTGATGCTACTGTTCGGTAAATAATTAAAATTTAAAAAAGATAATTCTTTTATTTTCTTTTTTTTTTTAAGTGTATGGAATATTCGTACAGGTGAACGTCTTCATATGTTAAGTGGTCATACAGCCGCTGTACGTTGTGTATGTTACAATGGAAAATATGTAGTATCAGGTGCATATGATCATACTATACGTGTATGGTTACCTGATCAAGAACGATGTGTACATACACTTGAAGGACATACAAATCGAGTTTATTCTCTTGTCGTACGTATTGAGTTTGTTTTTCTTTTTTTTCGATTTTCTTTGTTTTGTTTTTCTTTAAATTTAGTTTGATGGTAAACATATTGTATCCGGTTCATTGGATTGTATGATACGTGTATGGGATGTTGAACAAGGCACATGTATACATCAGTTAACGGGACATTTATCATTAACAAGTGGAATGCAATTACGTGGAAGTATACTTGTTTCTGGAAATGCTGATTCGACAGTAAAAATTTGGAATATTGAATCTGGAAAATGTCTACATACACTTGCTGGTTAGAAGAAATATTTGTGAACTTGTTTTTTTTTTAATGTTCAATTGTATCTTTTTTTTTTTTAGGAAGAAATAAACATGCATCAGCAGTGACGTGGGTTCAAGTTGTAATGAATTATGTTGTTAGTTCAGGTGACGATGGAACTGTTAAATTATGGGATTTAAATACAGGAGATTTTATACGAAATCTTGTTACACTTGAATCAGCTGGCAATGGAGGTAAAATAATATATATATCAAAAATAATTATTAGTTTACGAAATATGACTTTGAAGAAGTGTTGAATAATCCCTTCGAACAATGTTTTTTTGATTAGCATATATATTTTGTTTAATATTCTTTGATTATGAGAAACTTGTTATTATGTACGAGTAGAAATATTTGACTATTTTCCTGATGTAACTTTAATATTGACGGCGCAAAAAAACTTTTCTGGATGATTCCGATTCAGAACTTTAGTGTTGAAGTACAAAGGTAGAAATTTAGACGATTCATTTCAAACACCGTATATCATCATTAACGTCTCATTATAATATATGAACTAAGGATGAGCTGAAATTTTCTAGACAAAGTATTTGATTATTTTTTCGTGTATTTAAATGTATTGGAAAAATTGAGAAGTAGAAATTTTTGACTTATAAGTGAATCTTGAAAAGATTCGAAAATTTTTTTCCGAGGAAAAAACTTCCAACGAAACTGGTTATGAATATGCCACAAAATTTTATTGAATATATTGAAAGATATAGAAAATAGGTCTCTACAGAGCGAGAATTTTTTTTTTTTGCAAACTGTTGAGATGTAACACATTTTAATTCGTGCAGAAATAGCACAGCGTATTTATAGATGAACTAGTATAAGTAGAGATTAATTATTTGTAAATCATCCTTGAAAAATCTCGAATATTTTTTGTTATTATAATTAACATATGTACAATAAATCTTCATT